CACCCACTCACACATGCCTATGAACACCCCACAAACACACACCACTGCAACACATGGTCCTAATGAAATGAATCCTTGTGTATCAGCAGTGCACAGGCCACTTGGCTCAATGGACTCCCATGAATAATTCAGCCCAAAGAGGAGCAAAAGACAGCAAACGGAGAAGAGAAGGAGGAAAGGTGGAGCAGAGATGGAAGCCAGGATAGGAGAAAAGGAGGGGAGACACAAGACAGGAATAAATACGATCAAATTTGCTGAGTCAGGACAGAGAGTAGCTGTGTGTCTGTGAGTGAACAGAGGCCCCTTTGTGCTGCCCCGTGTAGATGCCTGTGCACAAACAGACTGGGACAACCGAGCTGTGTCAGACTCCGCAAACCCCCCCGTTTTCTCCCTCTACCCACACTGGTCTCACTCTAAATGTACTGGAGACACCACCACCCAAACACAACTCACGGAGCCAGCCAATTCACACAGAACACAGCTCGTGTTTACTAAAGTTTGAGTCAAACTGATCTTTTTCTGCAGTCATATAGTCTTAAGACTTTAGCAAGCAGGTCGGTCTGTTTTTACACCGAAAAAGCATTTTTATAATTATTATTATTATCTTTGATCAAAATCATCCACTCTGAGTTTTTCATGCAGGCTGAACATGAAAATATTCTTCTACACCTATCTCCTGCAGGTGTGGAAGTGAGCTGATGATTTCAACTATGTCTCGTATGATTGTGTTGCTGGCCAAAGTCAGGATTTCATTCTGAACAATACCTGAAGTACACAGGTCCTTTCTTCCACGTGTCAACCACTTGTTTAGAGAGAGGTCATCCTCTGACTTGTACTTCAGAAGCTGTTCAAAATTTCCCTCACCACCTTCGTGACCCCTGAGAGGTAAACCTTGCCTGGCAAACATCTGTACAGCACCAATGATTTGGAGAAGACATTCCCTCGCTTCCTCTTGCTGCTTTGAACTCGCATTAGAGAGCTGAACCTGTACAGACTGATTTTCATAGATGTGCATTGTCATGGCGGTCGTATGACTAGCACATCTTTCATCTTTCCGTAAATCGTTCCGAGGCTTTTTTTCCAATTTTTAAACCCTGATGACAAGAATGCTGAATCTGCATTCTTGGCTTGGGGTGATGTCTGAGAATTAAAGGCTTTTAAACAGTAACAACACACCCTCAACACCAGGGCTCACACGGAGCCATGGGAATTTTTGGTACCACTGACTTTGAAAGCTTAAACTATTTTTGGGCAAGATCTGTTTAGCAATACACTTTGGATCTGGTTGGTTGGGATTAATGAACTGATAGCAAGGAACAGTTATTTCTGAAATATCTGCTTCTCTGTTATCTTTACAGTCTTCATCATCTTTATAGTCCCTCTCACTCTGTTCTTCTTTTCTTCCCTCCTCGTGTCTGCCTTTCCCTTTCTCCGCCTTTCTGTCGTCTTCACTCCTGGCCACATCTTCAGATACTGCCTAACATTTAAATTAAAACAGAGTCATTATAAACATGTACACATGCATCTAGGATGGAAATAATCAGCACAAATATCTCTCTCTCTCTCTCTCTCTCTCTCTCTCTCACACGCACACACACACACAGACAGAGAGAGAAAGAGACTGCCTTAACTGAGTTCTTTCACAAACTGAGACTAAGTTGCAACAGCTTAAACCTATATTTATTTCATTACTTACCTGTGAACCTTCATGAACCCTCTCTGAACCTTGTGCTCTCCCTGAAACTGATGCCTCCTGCTAAACCAGAAAGGTTCAATGGTGAAGAGTGAACTCAAACTAATTAAATCATTTTGGCTCAGTTTAAACAGAATTAACCTAAAATTAATTGTTTTATCTATTTAAATATGATTTTAGATTTTACAGTAATTTAACTTACATTATTTTTCTTGAAAAAGTTGTCAATCCTCTCCTGCCTTTTCCTTTTCTGCGTCTTTGTTATACTGAGTGAGAAATAGGTAAATAAAAGCTTGATTTTGACATGGATCTTCCTAATATGACTGAGGAAATGTTTTTTTGGCTAATATCTGCTAAAATATTAAGATAAAATATGCGTAAGCCTTTTCTGTGTAGGTACATACCCGGTGTATTTTCACCACAACAAGCCGAATGTTGGATAATGACCAAACAGGCGGGATTTATGGTGGGAAGCAAATCGATTGGTTGAAAGCCGGTTGTGTCAGAGCAACAGGAGAGGGAGGGAGGGAGGGAGGGAAGAGCCACTGGAAGCCCTTGGGCTCTTCCCTCCCTCCATCTCCTGCTGCTGCTTGAAACCGAAACCTGAGGCAAACAGACTGTGACGTAGAGACCAGACTGGTGTGGAGGTGAGCAAAACAGCTGGAAAAGTGAGGGTGTCAGTTGAACGATCTCAATAAGAAAAGTGTGGGTGTTGAATCCCCCACATCCCCCACGGGTGCGACGCCAAAAGTGTGGGTGTCAAATGATCTCAATAAGAAAAGCGTGGGTGTTGCATCCCCCACATCCCCCACGGGTGCGACGCCCATGTCTGTTTGAATCTTTTTGCAAGCTCCCCTCACTAATTTCCCACACACTCCATCCACCTCTCATGCACGGGTAAAGCAGGGGGCGCCACCGCTTACTCTGAGTCCATGCAGCAGAGTGAACAGCGCTCACGTGATGAACATGAAGGACGGGGGATGAAGCAAAAGCCTCTGTCCGATGTCCTGAGACAGGACAGGAGTGTGTTCTTTTCATAGTTGTTTGTTTGATTTTACTTCATGTGGAAAAAGACGTCTCCTCTACATCTGCCACCTGTATATGTAGAGGAGGATGTCTGATTATTGATAGGCTTCAATTGCTGTTGCACACGCTCCCACTGCCATGTTTGCCCTCTGTTCCATCCCAGTGTTATGTCGATATGTGTTCCCTCCTCGAGATCTGTTTCTTTTGCACCCAGCTGCAAGGGTAAATGACCCAATCACAAAAATAACCCTTACCCTAACCATAGTCACCCTTATGTTTTGCATAAATATAATTTTTGAAAATATTATGTGTAGCACAATTTTTATGTCTGTTTCAGGGTTATGGTTAGGGTAAGGGTTGGGGTTAGGGTTAGGACCCCATAATTCAGGTCTGGAAATGAAGCAAAACAGGAAGTTACAAAAATTGCAGTTCCACCCTCATCCACAAGGGGCTGGTGTCAGAAGCGAGCTAATCCTCATTGACTCCCATGTTAAAAATACCAATTTCACAGCAGAAATAAACATGTTTACAGCCTGGTACCAAAACATGTTTTAGGTTTAATAGATCTAGTTTACACTCATGACAACTCTGAGGGGGGTGAATATTTTTGTCACTCTTCTGTTTAAGTTTATTAAAAGCCTAAAATTCTGAATAATTAATGAGCAGACCCACGTGACTGCAGAGCTAGCTCCAGGGAAAGGCCTCAGTCTGAGCCTCAGCCTCGCCTGAAAACTGTTTAGCCATTTTTAGTCTCTCAACTTAGACCATTAGTTGTAGAGTTTGTGTATTCTTTTTTGGATATTATTTGTGTAATTGTTGGACAAAATGAATTGCTGTGGTATTAATTGCACTAACAGAGCATCCAAGGAGTCTCTACTTCATTTTTTTTGGTAAGTAAAATTATATTTATGTATTTTTATGTATTTTAGGTCACTGCCACTCTTGCGCTAGCTGAGCTTAGATTTTAACATGTACTGTTTAACCATGACATTTAAATGTAATAGGGTAAAACCCAGGGCATTTAACATGATGCTGCATTTTTGAAAATGGGTTGAAACATGTTGGTGGAGCTGGGTTCCGACTATCGGTATGGGCCCCTCCCCTCAGCGGCAGCTCGGCGCATCTCTGATCACAGAGGCACTTGTCTGCTGCGCGGGCTGCCGGCTTGCGGAGCTCTCGGAGACCTCTGTGTTCCAGCTGGTTTTACCCAGCAGTCAGCCCGGCGTATCTCTGACTCAGAAGCTCCGGTGTTGTGCACAGTTAACTCCGGTTGTAGCTAGGTAGCTACCTCTGTTAGCTTAGCTATCACCTCAGCGTTAGCTTTGGGTTAGCTTGTAGCTACATCGCTTCAGTTCGACGGGTGTCGTAATTTGATCCCAGCCTTACAGCCCCACCCTCAGCTCCACCTCTTTTCCCTTTTTTGGAATTGTCTGGGCTTGACGGAACCTGTGACACAGTCAAAATGGCGGTGGTGGGAACCTCCCATTTTGGCACAAAAACGTATAATTGGAGCCTATGGAAACGAATTGTCCAGTATATATGTCGATGGTTACGACACACACTTTTTGCGAGTGGATGGTTCTAACTCACAGCTGGGTGCAAAAGAAACAGATGTCGAGGGGGGAACACATATCGACGTAACACCGGCACTTTTTTTTTTTTCCACTTTAAGCACTGCCTCTAACCTCTTGCTATTTAACCTTCCCCTCACCCCCATCCTAACCTTAACCCTCTTGTGCATTCAAAACTTTGTTCCTAGTTGTAACGTCCCTCTCCAACACGGTTAATGGGAAGTTTAGAACGAGCAACAGGGTTAAGGTGAGGATGGGAGTGAAGGGAAGGTTAAATAGCAGGAGGTTAAATGTTGGTGAAATGTGCGTTTTACTGTGGGCGTCGTAAACCGACGCTCTGGCACAACACGTCGGAAACAAACGCTTGGTCACCCAGCGCATTTTTTGATGCTTCAGGTGTAAGAATGTGTTGTCTCTCAATGTGAATGAAACCGGACAAAAAACATGAAAAATGGTTTTCCTCAAAGAGTTTTTGAACAGGTTTTAGTTGTGCAACAACAAGCTTTATATAGCACATGATAAAATCCAGGAATTAAGAGTAAAAAACACTTTAAAGACATGTTACAATTTTAAAAAGGCAGAAAAGATATGCAAACATTTTAAAATGTAAAATAGTGCAGTAACTTTTATAGTTTGAGGGCTTTTATTGTGGCACACCTTTACTTTGCACTAATCAGACAACACGGAACATGAATGCAGCTCTCACTTACGTGGCGACCTGGTGCATGACCTTGGTGGAGGTGTCCTTCAGTGTGTCTTTTAAGTTGTCCTTGAAGTTGCTGAAAAACTTCCCGGCTCCACCCTTCACCATGTCAAACAGCCCTCCTCCGTAGTTGGCATCCATATCTGAAAAACAAGAAGTAGCGCGGTATCATGACTACTTATTATGCACTTTTCATGATGGTGAACATAACTCACACTATAGGTATACAAATGCTGGACAAGGGCACTAGAAAGGACAGTAATGGGCCATTCCCATCTGTACCGGGTCGGCCCGGGCTGGGTAGCGTAGGTTGTTTACATATCTGGGTGGCCTGGTATTTTTCCGGGCCAACCAAGGCTCATTCTCAGCCCTCTTCTCGAGGGGGTCTGCTTCAGGCCGAGCAAGGCCAACACACCCACTGCTGACAGCAAATTCACACCTTCCATTAGAGCAAGCCTCTGATTGGTGGGTAGAATCAGCCCACATGGGCTTAAGACAAGGATGTGTGGAATCAACCGGGCCAGTCTGGGGCCGACTGGGGCTACCCGGCCCGGGCCGATCCGGTACAGATGGGAATGGCCATAAATGTACCCCATCTCGTGTGTGTGTGTGTGTGTGTGTGTGTGTGTGTGTGTGTGTGTGTGTGTGCGCACAAGCTGGATTAGGCCCAAGTGTTACGTATGAGTCAGCACCCCTTGGGTGATTTGAGAATTTTGCTCCATCCTCTCCCACCCTCTGTCTCTCTCTTTGGCTCCTTCCCATCATGGACTCTGCCTGCACACAGCCACCACTGAGTTGCTGTCTGATTTGTAATTTATGTCAGGGCAGAAAAATGTAGTGACATTAAGCACAATGTAGCAGAAAATCCCCCATGAGTGAATATTCTTCATGCACATGCTCTGAACATCAAGGTTAATGTGAGACTTTGTGGTTCTGTGGATGAGGAACCTCCTTAAGACCAAGCCAGCCAAAACTCCAACTCACCATCCTACAATCAGTTCTCTGCAGACAAAATATTTTACTATCTCCTATAACTCCATTTTGAGTTGATACTCAGTAAATTCTTCTTTGATCACTAGAGACGTGTTCACCTGGTGACCTCATGTGACATCTCTGACCTCAGGAGTTTGAGGCGAAGCAGAGGGTTAATGATTATGAGCTATTAGCAGATCATTCAAATGGTTCTGATTGTAATTGATTAGAAATCGAAGAAAGAGAAATCATTTTACTGTTTTGGTTCATATTTTAGTAAAGCACTTCCAAATAAAGTTTCTTGCATGTGAAGGAAATAGTTGTTGATTTATGAACATTTTAATTAAATTATTTATATTTATTTAGGCAAGGCAAGACGAGCTTTATTTATAAATCACATTTCAAACACAGAGGCAATTCAGTGTGCTTTATAATTAGCATTAAATGGCACGACAACAAACACGAGAACACAAATTAAAATACACACAGATAAAATTATAATTTAGAGCTAAAACGAAAAGACAGAATTAAGGTTGAGCATTTACATCAGAGATTACAGTGGAGACGATGCAGCATAAGAAACAATTCATTCAAAGGCTGATGAGTCCATTAGGGTTTTAAGTTTCGATTTAAACAACACTAGGGTTGGGACAGATCTGAGGTCCTGGGGGAGCTGATTCCATATGTGAGCTTCACAGTAGCTAAAAGCAGCTTCACCGTGTTTGGTTTGGCAGAAGCAACCAGCTTTTCACTCAGTGATGTGGAAATAATTTAGTCTTTTAAAAGTTGTATTCATTTAAAAATAAAAGTATTTCTTCCTTGTATGTCCAGAGAAGTGAATCAATGGGTTATGAACTGAAGCTATCTGACTAGCATGGTGTCATTACTGATGGCGCTGCTTTGGTTTACTTTAAGCGTGAGCCGACGCGTTAAGAAACCCAGAATCCTGCTCTGCCTTCAACACAACCTGGATGTGCCAGTCATGCTTCTAATACCTTCACAGGTGCAGAGGCAGCGGTGAGGCTGAGGGAACAAACAGGCTTCAAAGCAGACGCGCAACAGACCTCATCGCCTCCTCCTTCTCCTCCTCCTCAGCTGCCTCACAGGAGGACCAGAGTGAAAGAAGGGAAAGGAGGATAGAAAGTTCTACTTATATCCAAAGGGATGTCGGAAAATGTCATCTTCTTCCTAAAGCCTGAAATCCTTCTCGCCTGGCGTGAGCAACACAAATAGACAATAAACACACAGCAGCACACCTAATTTCAGCTCCGAGACTCTCCTGGGTGTTTTATTATCCAGGATTTGAATGACTGGGAATGTCAACCAAATTTTAACCTGGCAAAGAGATGTATATTCCTCTGAACTGCAGGAATATTTCTTTTGACTGACGAGCAGCTTATTACTAAAAGCATGACAGGCCAAAAACATGCATGTTAGGTTTTTTTCACAACATTTCTAAATCCATAAGTGTAATTAGCTTTAGACAAAAGCATGAGGTTAATTAATAAACATAATAAACATCACTAACACCTTTTGAAAAGATGCATAGACCTGTTTTTTCATTGTCAACAAAGGTACAATAGAGAAAAAAAGATTTATTTCTGCATGATCGCAGGTTTCAGCATCTTGCCAAACTCAAGGGATTTTCAGAAAGAACATCCTTTAATGATTGTTTTCCTCTGATCTCTTCAGTGTAGCACATACATGTAGCCTGACAAGCCAGAATAACTACATTTGATCTAGTTCACTAGGCTAACATACATGTCTATCAAAGAAGCAAAATGTCACTATTGATTTCCACATCTTCATGGCTCCAACCTGCAAAGTTTAAATGTGAAAGCAACCAGAACGATGCACGGAGGAGGCGGCTGGAGGATAACGTGTCAGAACCCAACAGGATTTGGACTCTTATTTTCTGGTATTTTGACATCTCACCTCTGATTGGATGACAGCAACACAACTCTACCACTGACATGTTCTCCCTGTTAAGTTAAGGCTGTTAAGTTAAAACTTGATGTCAGTGGTAGAGTCATGTTGCAGTTAGCCAATCAGAGACAACATATCATGAATATTTAGGCGTAAGATTCTAAATCCAACCATTCTGTGCCCCCCCCCCCCTCTCCTTCGACTAATTTCTACTTCCTGAAGCAGGAGAGCCAGAGCCTTTTTTCCAAAAAGAACTAATCACAAGTTATTCATTCATTCATTGCTCACAGCAGATTTATTGAAAAACATAAGTGAATGAGACCTTTAAGAAATAAGACAAAAACATACAAAGAACCTGAAGGCTGAAACAACTCGTCTTAACTTCCACATAATGCAATAAAAAGATCTGCTGGAAAACGTTTAAAAATCTAAAAAAACAACCTTAAGTCTGTCGTGTTCTCCACCAGATGTTGCAAAACCAAACAGCTCAAAGGAGAAGGGAGAATCTGGTCTGAAGCATGACTTTGCTCAGCCTTCTGTCTTTTCTGTGTTGTCTCTCTATCTGAGGGTGACATAAATCAGTTGTGAAGGAACCATAGCTTCATCTCTTTCTGTTCTATTTCCTAATATGTCTGTTTGAATCTGGCTCTTCCTCGCTGTTCTGCTTGCTGGTGCGTGTGCATCCAGATGGCTGTGGGAGTCTGCACAGCCAGAAACAACGTCTAAGGCACCAGAGATGGTTCTGATACTGACTCTATCAGGTGAAACAGTGGCTGGAAAAGCTCAGACGCTATAGGTAAAAAGAGCTCCAGTCAACGGATCAATGGCTCGCTTGGAATTGTCTCCCTCCTTCTAGAACACCAACCTTTGGCCTTCAATATCCGGCTCTGTGAAAATGGGGCAGATGGATACAGAGGCAGGAACACACACACACACACACACACACACACACACACACCAAAAAGACTGAGTGTGGGTAAGGCCTGCCAGGCCATACAGACATCTAACACTATAGACCCCCACCACCACGCCTTTCCTACCCCCAGCACGCTGCCCCATTACTCCGCCACCACCACCACCTGCCCCAGGCTCTTTTGTTTCACACTAATGTTTACCTCTGGGAGACGGCTGACTTCATGCAGCATTGCAGTGATGTCGACACGAGACCAAGCCAGACTCTCACACTCAAACATACATGTCTGAACATCAGAATTTGATTCATATTATTGTCGTTTATTTTATTAATAAAGGTGATTTGTGCAGGATAACGTCTAACAAATGTTCTCCGCTGAAATCGTTGCAGATTTGAAAGATAATTATATTTCCAGAAAAGTAGAAATTCTTTGTATTATGGCTAAATTTAGCAGATGAATATATTGCATGTTTAAATGAGAAGAAAATGGAAAACTTGAGCTTACGAATAAGTAAATAACATTTTTCTGATTTTCAGCAGGTGCATCTGAATGCCCAGAACACTAACTTATAATCAAAACATGAAAACTGAATTCTAGCAGCTTGTTTGTTTCATGACAAGATACAAGAGCCTCTTTTTAGCTAAGGAATTGACAGATCCAGCAATTTTATGTTTAAATGCATTTTATAGCTTTTATTTGAGGGCTTTGAATGACAATTTACCAGTTCATTAAATAAACCTCGACTTTGAAAAGTATTTTCTGTAGCAATAAACTAAAGCAGAGTTTATTTTTAAATAGTTGATATATTTTTTCTATATTAACAAAAGAATAATCTCTCAAAGCCTTTTGTATTTAAAGAGCAAGTCACCCCAAATCAGCTTTGTTTTTGCTGATAAACTATATAAATGAGTGTCTAATTGTGCTGAAGACAATTGTGGTGAATAATTTGGCATTTTAATGCGCCTTAGTTAACGTTTAAATATTGTGCCTAAAACTGTCAGTGTTGTGCCATCTTCAGGTAAAAACTCTGCACTGCATTTGAATTTAAACCTGCCACCGCTATTGGCCAAGAGGTACATTATGATGTCACAATGTTGTTTTGTGAGCGTGTGTGTGTGTGTGTGTGTGTGTGTGTGTGTGTGTGTGTGTGTGTGTGTGTGTGTGTGTGTGTGTGTGTGTGTGTTTGTTGGTGGCTTCGCTGGTCTTCCAGGCAACTTCATTAGTTGCATTTTTTTAATCAGGAAGTGGGAGTAGAGTAAGACTCTGGTGGAGGGTGACTTGCTCTTTAAAATGTGGTTTTAATGGTTGATATGAATCAGGAACACGTTTTTGCATAAATGATTTTCCATTTCTAGTTTATTATTATTGATTATGGCCTTTATTAGATGTATTTTAGCCCCGTTAAACTTAAAGTTACACAGGTTAGTGATGGTATTGCAGAGCATCACTGCTGTTCTCCTGCTTCTCCACCAGAACAGGCCGCATTAAACTCATCACATCTTCACTCAGTCAGCCTCCATCTCTGGGTCCCATCTGGGCCCCTGGCCCCGGAGGCAGTACAGACTCCTACCTGAGCTGTCCATGGTGCTGCAGTCCTGCTCTCTCAGCGGGCCCGCCTTCGGTCCGACTGTGGCCGCTATGGAGCCTCCGAGCGCGCCCCCTCCTCCGCCGCCGCTGCCGCTGCTCCCCCGGCCGAAGCTGAAGCTTTCTCCGCCGCTATCGACCAGCTGCAAACATTCATAGCCATCGTAACTGGTCTTTTTCTTGTACGCTCCCAACAAGCTCATCACCAAAAATGACACTAAATGAGGAAATTTAAGACAAAAAAAAAGGAGCTCCAGACACGAGGAGGGTCCGCCGCCCTGTCAGCCCGCGGTGCTGCTATCTTTGCCGCTACTGACTGCGCCGCATGTCCGAAGAGAGGGGAGGACAGCCGGTCGCCTCTCTTTTCCTGAGGGGAGAGATTTCTATCGGTTCTCCTTCTCCCTCCCTTCTGTCTGCCTCTATCGCCTCCTTTCCCCCCTCAACGCCGCATTTTACTACCGAGCTCCTTCTGATGCTTCCGCTAATGTCGACGTTAAAGGGACACCCACCCTGGACCGGACCGGTCTAATGTTAACGCTGCATTCATTATTCACACCGACTCTAGTTGTGATGTGTTCACGGACCTGTTCCAACCTGGACGATAGAATTAACATTTCTAACGATATGAAAATAAATAAAGAAATAAATAAGAAAATAAATAAATAAATAAATAAATAAATGCTCTCATCATAAAACCTAAAACTAACCCTTAATATAACAAGAATGTACACTTTTCATCACAAGCAGCTCTGCTTCACATTTTATTGATTTATCTAAAACCTCTCACACTGTTATTATGATTTGTGTCACCAGGCTGTTGGGTGAATTGAGACTTTAAATATTGGACCCAAGCCCCTGTATTCACAAGGAAGTTAACCAATGCTTAATATATGACGTTTGAATGCATTTTCTCCTAATTGCTTGTAAATGCATGTGAAAATTTAAAGTGCAACTCTAGATGTGGTCATTTATTGATGGGCAGCTATATCCCAACAGCATAACAGCTTCCAATAATCTGCATTTGCAGCCTGTCCTGGTGGAAAGGCTGGAGAACAGCAGTGATACTCTGCCGTTGTGTCCTTGGGCAAGACACTTAACCCGCCTTGCCTGTTGATGGAGGTCGGAGGAACCGGTGGTGCCAGTGAACAGCAGCCTCGCCTCTGTCAGTGGGTCCCAGGGCAGCTGTAGCTACATCGTAGCTCATCCCCACCAGCGTGTGAATGTGTCTGTGAATGGGTGAATTCTCAACCAAGATCTTGCAAACTTGCATGAACTGGTAGAAGTGATTTGCAGTGATTCTGCACCACACAGATAATAACTCGATATCTGTAAATTTTGCAGATAAGTACATGTTGCTGTCAGCCATGTTGAATTGGATTGATGGTCTGCATCGGGTCATTCCAAGATGGATGGAACGACAGATGGGAAATACCCACCTCTTCAAAGAGCATGTTCACAATGGACCAGTGGTTCCCAACCTCGGGTCTGCGATTATAGATTATATTTGTAAAAAAAAATGTCTTTTATAAAATTTGATTAAAATATCCAACAGTGTAATTAAAATTATGTATAGAGTTTTTACTCTGTATGTATAAAGTTTGATTTAATCACTTTAAATGTGTCACGGTCTGAGGTATTTCCCTGCTGTCACTCCCTGTCTTTTGAGTTTCCCTCTGCAGGTGGGCGTGTCTGGAGGTGACCAAGCTGCAGCAGATCTGCTCATCAGCTGGCCAGGGGTATTTAAGCAGCTGGGAGACTCCTACACTTCGCTGGATGATTACTCTACCTGGGTACCTTCTAACAGCCACTTGTGTAACTTATTCGAGCTCTGTAAACTCTTGAGAACTAGATTTGTTTTTGGATTTTGGATTTTTGAGATTTGATGTGTTTTTGGATTTTGGATCTTTGCCTTTGTGACCTCCTGCTCTTGTTCCCAGACAAACCTACACACTCATCTCTGACTGGCAGAACTCTGGAGCCCACACCATTTGGATCTCCAACTCCGCTCGTCTCTCAGCCTCTCCCCTGGCCAGACCCGCCTCCAGCAGCCCACCTAACCTCCCTGGACCTCCCCAAGCTCAGCTCCCTCCACGTCTCTTTTCTGGATCTCAGTCCCTGCTACCCAGACCGGACCACTCCTCCCTCAAAACCAGTTCCCACCTCTCCAGACCGTAAGTCCTCCACATAAGCCTGATTCCCTGTGCCATCCGCAAATTGGATCTAACTCAGATCTGTCCACAGCTTTTCCCGCACCAGCTTCCTCGTGCAAGAACTCAGCTACGTTTACGCTGCTTCCTTGGTTTCCCTTTTAAATAAATTCTTTTTAAAACATTTTACACCGTCTCAGATCTGATTCTGTATGTCGTGGGTTAGATTTCTTCACCACAACATGACAAAATGTGTTTATGCAGGTAGAAGGGGGTGCTGGGGGTCCTGGTCTTGGACACAGGCAAGGCAAGGGGGTCCTCGTGGAAAAAGGGTTTAGAACCACAGTTCTAGACGAACACCTGCCTGCACTCCGTTTCTACACAGTCACGCCTGTTCATCCTTCTAAGTTTACTTTGAGTCTCAGTGGTAACTGGTTTGTTTAATTCTCCTGTTTAATTCGCTTTGGATTAAAGTGTCTGCCAAATACATAAACATGCACATCAGACACAGAGGTTCTGCATTTGAATTCAAGCTGTTCGGTGGTTTATGAGGTGTTCTGCTGACTGACAGACAGGGTTCACATCAGTTAACACCAAAGTTTGGAGGAATTACTTCATGCAATGTTTAGAAATCTGGATTACTTACATCTACTATCAGACCCAAGTTTAGTTCAGTATGTACAACAATTCATCAGTTAAAGGGACTTTACGGAGTTTTGAAATTTTATGCTCGCGATTGCCCCCTCAGGCCAAAAGCGTAACGGCAGCTTCAACAGTAGGCTCGTGCACGAGGCGCGCATGCTGTACGTGCACACTCCTTAATGAAAATAATAGCTGAGACAGTCGTGTGTGTGTGTCCCAGTCCCAGAGGACAGGAGAACGCGCAGCTAATTAATTAAATAATTTGGTTCTGTACCTTTCTCTTCAGCACAGCTGACAAAGGTTTATGATGGGTCAGTCCTCCTGCATGCTCAGATCATTCCCTTCCCTTGCTTGAAAAATTGTTCCAAAATGAAAGTTGAACCCACATCTTTTTATCTGTGAATTCAATGCCGTTCGGCGAGTCTCAAATAAAAATTTGGGCATCTTACTGTAAAAAAAATATAACATTAATGTAAAAAAGAAACTCTAAATAAGCTATGTTCACACCCAGAATTGAACCCAGTTCTCCTGCATGAGAGTCCGACATTTTACTAGGTGAGCTAAAGCACCAGTGATGTCTTCTGTGTCTGTAACATTTATATCCTTGATGACACCTGAAACAACGTTCAAAGAATGGTTCGGAGTGAAAATGGCTATTTTGTTGCTAATTTGCAGGAAATATCTACAAGAAAGTTCTACAGAAAGTAGCTAAGGGTCCTCAGAAATGTAGCTAGGTTCATCACTAGGCGTTAGGAACAGCGACAAAGTCGCTGAGTTGGCACTGCCTCTCTCTCTGCTGCTAAAGCTACGGATAGCAAATGCTACGGGCGATGACTGAGCGTGAACGCGCATGAAGCAGCCTGCTCGACCCGAGCATCTCTCTTTTTCTGTGATTTTACAGAAAAACAGGCAATCACAGTAAAAATGCCAGGGCTCATTCTACAGGACCAGGGCATTGCAGGAGAATGTATGAAGAAGAAATGTATTATTTCTATACATCTTTTGGCTGTCAAACTTCCATAATGCCCCTTTAAAACCTTTGTTGTGTTTTAAGGGCTTGTTGGCTGGGTCGACCACATAAGGTACAATCTGTGGTAAATAAAAATAAAAAAAAGGTAGATTCCTGAGAGTTTGTTTTGAAATCCATCTGGTGGCTTATGAGAAATTTAGCTAACAACCAAACACAGTTGTGTGCACAAACACACAAAAGCAGCAGCATCCATCTTGTGCTTTGCAGCCTGAATGTTTCATGATTGACATATTTTACCGTAAAAAAGTTTTGTGTAATTATAAAAACGTTATGTCCAAAAAGAGACCAGAAAGAAGGATGCCTATCAACTCCTTCATGGTGCAAGTTTCAGTTAAAACACCAGTTTGGGGTCATAATGTTTTAGTTTCATTCCTGTTGTTTTTTAAATACCCAAAGAAGCAACAGCATTTTCTTACGATGTGTAAATAAGGGAAGTTCTGTCAGAAAAAAAATCAACACCATCACTAATTATGAGTCTAATGTATTAAAATTCCTACTATAATATTAATTATTTCACAGTTATAATTTTGCATCTTTTTTCTAGTCTCTGACCATACAGAGGAAAACTCTTCTCATAATGGCATGCTTCCTTTCTGTGCCCAGTTCTCTGGCAACAGGATCCTGGACATGGTTCTGAAATAAGGGCATGAGCCTGGGAAACTCTTTTTGGGAGAGCAGACGGGAGCTCAAAGCACAACAGGGAACACACTGTCCAGAAGGAAGGAATGGTGCCCTCAACATAACCGGATGCAACGTGCTGCAGTGACACTGTTGCAAATTATCCTCCTGTCAGCCATGCCTGCCAGTATTTATCCCTGATGCCCTGCACGTTTGGGACAAGCAGCAGGTGCAGAAGCTGCATGATATTTACTACAACAGAAGTTTAGATGTTAAAATTTTAAGCAATTTCAACAGTTTTATTTTAGACAGTTTCAGTGCCTTCCAGAATAAGCCATTTCAGTGCAAAGATAACAAGCTGTTGCTGGCCACACTGTTACAGCTACCAGCCTGGCCATTGGGATGCAGGAGCCAGGATCACCCAGCCCTGGTGATCAGCCCGACATCGCCCCTCCTCCTCCTCCTCTCTTCCAGGCTGCTGAGGAGCACAGCTGAGCGGAATCCTCCTGATGACCCACACCTGGGATAAAAAGGCTGTGCCTTCAGCAGTCTGGGATGCAGCAGTGCAGGGGTTCTGCTGTCCTCCAGGCCTAAGTTTTTTTTTTCAACCCTTTCGTCTGTGATAAGTTTTAACTTTTAAAGTTTTAACTCTGAGTTGAGGAGTTTTAAAGGGAAAAACTCTGAGTGATCCACATGGATCTTTGGTTGATGTCAACTTAGTTGACTCTGTTTTAAGGTTAACTCTGCTTTAGTTTTTAGACTTTTATCAATTTTGTTGTTTTTAAAACACCTTCAGTTTAGGTAAAACTTTTAATAAAGTTTTAACCAGGTGTTTTATATAGTTAAGTTGTCTTTTAACTGTTAACCTTATAGTGAATTTTTCATTTTGCATAATTTTAATAATGCTCGCCATCTGTTTGCACTTGTTTTTAGAACCTTTTATAACAATGAAACCCATTTTAACTCCACTATCGCATTTCTTATGTTGCCCCCTCCTTCACATTTTAACACCTCCTGTCGAGGATGTAACATAAATGGGGGCTCGTCCAGGATCTTTTAACTACATCAGACCGTGAAGGAATGTACAATCCCTTGGTGGTGGTATTTTAATGGTGTTTTATTTGCTTTAAGGTTTTAAGCAACAGATGGCTTCATGGATGACTGGCGGGTGCTTCTGGAGGCCCCGCCCCTGCCAGAGGATCAGGAGTTGAGGCTGATAAGAGGGAGACAGGTGCTGCATCTCCTCTCACACACCCACGGGGAAAACCCCAAATGGCCCTGGGCCATAACACACGCCCACCCATCCACCGCTCAGGCTGCTATAAGCTGAGAAGCTCCAATATCCCAGAGGGGCTCAAAGCCGCTGCTCCTCCAGTGTTGACAGGTGGTGGGGGTGGAGGGTTCTATTATAATTTCCCCATTTGTGACATCACAAAAGGGGACTTTTTCAAAGGACTTGTTTTAGGCACATGAAATCTATGTACCACATATCCACAGTTCGAGACTTCCTGACTTTTTAGCCAGTTGAATAATTTCAGGATCACAGTAATGTTAGTTTTCTCCACTTCATCTGTATGCAATCGCTGCAGGACCTGCTGAGGATAATGATTAACAGCGTACACAAGATAATATAGGGTAGTGGTTCCCAACCTTCTTCCCTTGGGGCCCCTATTGCCTGTGTCAAGATATGCCAGGACCTTCAACAACACAACCTCAGCACGGACAATTCTGTGGGGACCCCCATCAATCTTGAGGGGACCCCCTTGGGTGGTCCCGGACCCCAGGTTGGGAGCCACTGATCTAGCCAACATCTAAGATGCCACAATCAAATAAACACAACGCTTGTGCCTGCATCTAATAAATATTCTATTTTTAATTTAAATAAACCCTCCAAATGAAAGTTTCCACATTTCTTGTTGAAAATGACAAATTGTACTCCTCCACATTCTCTCAGATCTTTTTTGACCGAACACATGGATGAAGCATTTCATCCATTTTTCCACAACAATTAAAACGACGGTTCAACGGTCCTTTATAAATTCACTGCAGAATAAATGCACTGCACATGGTTCCATTGTAACGCAAAACTGAATGTGTATTTCTTATTTACTAGTTTCTACAATAATCCCTAGTTATAGTCTGAGGATTAATGATTATCCATCCAGGTGGCATAAAGCCATAAATCCATCAGCAACTTTTGTTCCCTTAGAAGTCATTTTTGTTTCATTTTCCTGTGACTGGATGATGGATGACCACAGCGTTTAATGCTGGTGCAAAAACAAAGCGAGTCAATAAGGATGACAACACGAGCCTGAGTCGTTAAGCTGCTCACGTGACGCACGTGACGCTAGCTGATGTGATAGCGCGCTATTGGCCAACTGGAGTGGAGCTGTCCTCCTCTCAGGGAAGAACAGAGTTCCTGAGAGATGAAGATGGTGGTTCTGATAAAAACTGATGTTAAAAACACGAGTCGAGACAGAAACGAACATCTGTGTCATTCTGTGTTTTCCTTGTTTTATATTATGGACTTTAAACGCATTTAAAGGCGAAGTGATCTTGAACCACTGAATCCGTTCAAAGTGGCAACCTTCCATTCATTCAGCGTTATTAACCAAGCAGTTTAAATTACATTAACGGTGATTTTCTCGCGTAAAGTATAAAACATACAAAATTTGTTTTGGTTTCTTAAAAGAAAAGTATCCCTCCTGGTCAAAAAATATCCCAAATGATGTCATTCATGCGCGCGTGTGCGCATCTCAAACAGGCCAGGCGCAAAAATCCAAGTTTGTTTCGTGTCCCTCGTGTCCCACTGTCAAAGAAATCACTTCCGAAAACACGAATGTTGACAAACATTCAGCTGTCAACCGGGTGCAGATGTGCTTTCTGGCTAATGTGGTCACGATTTCCTCCGGCGCTAATATTATGTAACATCAAGGCGCAGATCGTGATGCTGTTCTTCTCCATGGAGTGACAGATTTTCAATTCATACACGAAAACATGAGAGGCAAACTAAAATAATCATCAAAAACTGATATTCCGACTGATGACTTTACCTCCCAGAGCGCTTTTTCTCATTCTCCCAGGAGCGCCGTCTCGTGCTGCGATGTAGATGCGCTTGGAAACCCTGCTCCACACGTACACACTGACCTTTGGTTTGTCATTCGCTTGCAGTCAAAGGTCAAGGTGTCAAACGTCCTCAGAAACACGCCGTTCTGGTGGAAGTCCCCTTTAATTCCGAGTTAACCTGTCGGTAGGGTAGAGGAGGAAGCAACGCGCGTCAGATTCATCACATTTTGGCGTGAGATCACAGGACAAGGCTGCTTTGGTCAGATCTGTGTTCTATGTGGATGCGCGTAAGTCAGAGCGCAGCAGCAGCGGGGATGTTCTTGGATCTGTGCAGTAGCGCCGCTCGGTGCTTCCTGACAGCAACAGGAAAACATGGAGTGGATCTTAAGGAATAGTTTCAGAAAATAACAAATTAGCATCAGCGTCTTTCTAATTATCCTGCAGAGTTTAGAGTAAATTTACAATGAAAAGGCATATTTTATACAACAGAGATCTAATTTAATTCAAACCAGTGTCACGGATGTTGTGGCTAATTTAAAGTTTAAGCAAGAGTGATTCAGAGGAGAGCTGATTTCCTCCTTCTGAGCCCTGCAGACAGCACCTGTTGAACGTAAACACCGTAGATGAGAGTGTAATCTGTGTCAGACAGTGAGAGCAGCAGTTTCACCCAGCTCTAATGCGTATGAGCTTTACTTACAAATCCCACAGGCTTAAAGGGAGGAGGTGTGGGCGGTGTTTATGTGCATGCATGCATGCAAAAAGAACTAAATGGCCTGTCTATGTATAGGACCTCCTTAGAGTTCTACAACCCCCCAAGGCGCTTCACAACACAGTCATCCACATGCTGGTGGGGATGAGCTACGATAGCTACAGCTGGATAACCCACTACCTCCCGAGCTACTGCTGCCCCCGAACAAAAGAAAACATGTCTGTACGTAGTTGTTGCACACAATCTGTCAGTTTAGGTCCGCATGCTGTCCATGCTCTACGCCAGGGCTATCCAATTCTCGGCCTCGAGGGCCGGTATCCAGCATGTTTTAGTTTTAACCCTGCATCAACGCACCCGATTTCAATCAGCAGGTGATAAACAGGCTTCTGCAGAGCCTGATGAGCTGCTGCACAGGTGATTCAACCACTGAATCTAGTGTGCTGGACTAGAGAATCCACTGAAACCTGCTTGATGCCTGCCCACGAGGCCCAGAAGTGAATAGCCCTGCTCTGTGCTGCTGCACTAGATTCACAACACAGAAAGAGCCGCGCACACACACACACATCGTTAGACAAACAACAGCTTTATTGTCCTTGGAATGTGCTGGAAACCACATGATGTGAAAACAAGGCAGTAAAGTTACTGTAGTGTTACATATAAGCAGTGCAACAGGGTGGTGTACAATTTAACCTTTAACACCACGACTACTCATTCATCACCACAGACCGGACCTCAGGTACCCTGTGCATGATCTGACTTTACCCAATGACTCATGGTTGGTTTTATATATAAAAAATAATAGGTCCGTGTTCCCCAAAGCCAATCCCTGAATCAGTGTTGCTGTTTGAAGGCTTCATTCTTTAATATGTGACGTTCAAAGCTGGAAGGCCATGTTTTTATGGAATGTTTGGTGTTTGGTCAGCTGCTTGTGTTGGTCAGGAAAACTGAGTTTGGAATTTGTGTGTGCTGAGAAGCTGTTATGGAAAAACTTCTGTTTATTCATTCTTGATCTCGACTGCAACACAGATCTGCTGCCTGGAGCTCCTCTTCCCTCCAGCCGCCTCTATCAATCAATCAATCAATCAATCAATCAATCAATCAAAGCTTTATTTATAAAGCGCCTTCCGCAACCCTGTTAGGAAGCCCAAGGCGCTGAACATGGTACAGTAAAAGTACAAATATAGTGAATAAATCAAAAATAAAAGCAATTCAGAAATAAAAGCAATTCAAATTACAAAATACAAATTACAAAAAAAGGTGAAACATTCTAGTACAGGACAGATGGGTAAAACAAGGGATAGAGTGAACCAATGAAAACTGTGAAAGAAATTCAACGTAAAAGAGGGCCGAATCAAACATGTTCAGGAAATGCCAAGCGGAGGAGGTGTGTTTTTAGGCGACTCTTAAAGACCGGCAGAGATGGGGACAGCCTAACTGAGGGTGGCAACTGGTTCCAGAGAGACGGTGCTAGGACTGAGAAAGCCCGGTCCCCATGAGTACGACACCTAGAACGAGGGACAGCAAGCAGGCCTTGTTCAGAGGAGCGCAGAGCGCGTGATGGGGAATGTTTGTTCAAGAGTGTGGCTAGATAGGGGGGAGCACCACCCTGGAAGAAATTGTCAACAAAGACAAGGATTTTGAATTGTGCACAATAGCAAACCGGAAGCCAGTGCAGGGAGGCCAGAACCGGACTGATGTGGTCCCGTTTCCTGGTCCCAGTCAGGAACCTTGCTGCGCTGTTCTGCACAACCTGTAGGCGACGCAGTGATGACTGACACAACCCTGCATAAAGAGAGTTGCAGTAATCAAGCCTAGAATCACCTCTCGAAGCCTGAGAGAGAGAGCATGGAGAGCTACATTCAGGAGTCTCTGGCCGCCAGACTCATCAGACCGTCCTCCTCGCCTGTGGGAGCTGGTTTTTTCTTTGTTCCTAAGAAGGAGGGAACGCTCAGACCCTGCATCGACTACAGGGGTCTCAATGAGATAACTGTTAAGAATAAGAACCCTCTGCCATTGTTAACTTCTACCTTAGAGCCCATTCAGGATGCCACCATCTTCAGTCGTTTGGACCTTAGAAATGCATACCATTTGGTACGGATTTGTCAGGGGGACAAGTGGAAGACTGCATTTAAGACACCCATCGGATATTTCGAATATCTGGTGATGCCTTTTGGTTTGACTAATGCCCCAGCTGTTTTTCAGTCCCTAGTGAACTCTGTTTTGGGAGACAATTTGTATAAGTTTGTGACTGTCTACTTAGACGATATTTTAATCTTCTCTAGTTCTGAGGAACAACACGTTAAGCATGTTTGGTCTTTGTTACAGCGCCTCCTAGAGAACCGCCTATATGTGAAGGCTGAGAAACGTGTGTTTCATGTCCCTACGGCAAAATTTCTAGAGTTCATCATTGAGAGCGGGAGGTTGAGGGCAGACCCCGAGAAGGTCCGTGCTGTCACTGAATGGCCCACACCCACGTCCCGTAAACAACTGCAGAAGTTCCTGGGATTCGCCAATTTTTACAGGAGGTTTATCAGGAACTACAGCCAGACAACCGCCCCTCTGACAAACTTGACCTCTATCAATCGGCCTTTTGTTTGGTCCCCGGAAGCTGAGGCTGCTTTCCAGACACTAAAGAGGAGATTTACAAATGCCCCTGTGCTCCAGCGGCCTGATCCCCAATGCCAGTTTACACTTGAAGTGGATGCCTCAGACACCGTGTAGGCGCAGTGCTTTCTCAGGTATCTCCCTCGGACAATCGACTTCACCCTTGTGCTTTTTTCTCTAGCTGTTTAACCCCCACTGAAAGCAGATATGACGTGGGCGACAGAGAGATTCTGGCTGTGAAGCTCGCAATAGAGGAGTGGAGACACTGGCTAGAGGAAGCTGAAACACCTTTCATCATCTGGACAGATCACAAAAACCTGGTCTACTTAAGAGAGGCAAACAGGCTTAACCCACGGCAGTACAGGTGGTCTCTTTTCTTTTCCCGTTTTAATTTCCAGATGTCTTATCGCCCAGGTCCTAAGAATACCAAACCAGACGCCCTCTCTAGACAGTACGCTCCAGATCAGGAGGTCGAGCCCTCCACAGTTATTTCCCCGGCATATGTGGTGGGTGGAATCGCATGGGAGATCCGGGATCAGGTGTTGGAGGCACTTAAGACTGACCCGGGTCCAGGTAAGGGTCCTCCTGGCCGGCTCTATGTACCACAGGTTATGAGGGGCAAATTCATCCACTGGGCACACATTGGCAGGTTTTCGACGAGGCCGCGTCTGCTAGGATGCCAGGAGGCGTCAGCTGGGGGGGGAGGGGGATGGGGGTACTGTCATGTGCCGGGGTGAGTACTCCTCTCATTTTCCCATCTTTGAGTTGTGTGTTTCAGGAGAGGGAGGCTCCAGCTGAAGCTGATTTGCAGTCAGTGGGTCTGGCTACAAAAGGAGGATGGAGAACACTCCTTGACACAGGATTACTACAGCTTGGTAGTTTCCTGCCCTCTTTCGACTCTTGGATTTAGTGCTCTAGTGTTTCTAGGATTATTTTGTGAACCTTTGGATCTTTTCCCTGTGCTTACCCGTTACCAGGTTTTGGAACGTTTTTGGATTTCTGCGACTCCTCAGGATTACTCACCTGTGCCCCATAGGATTTCCAGACACAGCTCTCACCGTTCTCCATTCCTCCTGGCCGGCCCGCTCTCCTCTCGCTCCCTCTCCTGGACACCCCACTTGGATTCACCCAGGCACCCAACCTACCCTCCCTCATTCCTATGCTCCCCTACTCCCAATGCTCCACTCCCGTTCTTGATCTCCACTGGGCTTTTCCAGTGCACCTTCAGTTCCCGTTTTAAAATAAAAATTCTTTTTTTTTTTTTTTTACCTAAGATCTGTGAGTGTGTGATTCTGCATGTCTTGGGTTAAATGCATTCCCCAAACCATGTCAGATGATCACCTTTCCTGATTTACACCATTTCTATTACTTGATTTGTGATTGATGAAACTTTCATAGTTAGTGGTGAAAAGTTATGGAAGTGGATAATATTCCTTATTACTTTGCTTATTTCGTTTTCCTTATTTGGTTTTGTTGATTCCCTTTGTTTGGTTATCCTATTCGGATAAACAGGAGGGAATGTTATGGAAAAACTTGTTTATTCATTCTTGATCATGGACTCAATCAACTGCTCTGCCTCTCTGCATGCTCACTCATTCAGACCCCCCCCCCCCCCCCCCCCACACACACACACACACACACACACACAATCTCTCCCTCTATAAATTAACTCTGTGACCGGATCTTCGGTGCATTTTGCCTTGTGCATCTGCCACAGTTATAGCTGTTTGTCTTGTTGCTCATTGTCTCCCTTTTCTCTCCGACTATAGGAAATGGGTTATTGATAAACATATTGATAAAATCCGTGACAAAAGCTATAAAGGAAAGTCTAAACAGTTCAACAAGTTCATTCTGCAACGATGATTTTTACTGTCAGATGAAATCGCCTGGAAAGAAAAACCGACAAAAAAATCAAAAACTGTCAGAATAATAAAATGACCGAAGATACGGAACAGTAGAAACACTGGATGCATCATCACCCTTTTGAACCCATCCAGAACAGACTGCAGCTCAACAATAATAACAAATAAAAGTTTAAAATGAAGTTTTTATCAAATCTCTATGACTAGGATGATGCAATGGCTCCAGCAAATCCTAAGTGGTTTGGTATGAAGTATTTTATGCCCCGCCTCTTCTATTTTTAGTTTACTGTGAAGTATTTAATACAGCAATTAAAGAAATACAGCTTGTTTACCTTTCTCTTCCTCATGTGTGCTGTATAACCACTGATTAGGGTAGAAAAAGTCAAAAACGTCAAACGTAAATCAAAAACGCCCGCAAGCTTCTGAATGTCACACTAAAATAACATGAAATCTGATACAATTTAAAGCACAAAGCTCTATAGAAATATCTGCATGAAGTCATTTTTCTGGGGGAGGGGTCAACAAACATGTTGATAGGAGTCCTAGTGCACTTCCTGAAACCTCACTCCAGCATTAGAAAAGAAACAAAGCTTTTCCTCCATCTTCCCTGTGGCGTTCCGCTGGGATCGGAGTCAGGGTGTCTGGGTTTGACAGTCTTCTGACGGCTGTGTGTGCATCTTGGTGCTGAAGAGAGTGTTGATGTAAGGCCAGATCTTGTCTGTGTCTGTGCCAGAAAAAGAGTGCAGGACTCCCTGTGACCTGCATGAAAAACAGAGAACAAGTGGAAAAATGGGTTTGGCTCATTAAACATTGGATAAAAGAAGCATCTCTGTGCTCAGGTAACACAAAATCTCAGGTCTGGAGTGGGAACACATCAGCTCAGCTGGAGATTTAGGTTCGATGATGAGAATGCAATATAAACAAGGATGAGATTCAATTTTATTTTAGTTAGTTTAGCAAATAGAAAAGCTCTCTTTTAAACAGTTAAATCATCTTATTATTTAAGTGTTTGATTATTTTAGATTAGTATTGTTGAACTTCAGTTAGTCATTTTTTTCCCCCCACTTGATGTGACTTGAAGCAACATTAAAATATTTTAACACTTTAAGCTATGGCTTTCAAACTGGTTTCACAGCCAAAAACCTGAGCAACTTCACAGTGGACACTACTCTGTTGACCACAAACTGTACTTGACATTTGTGGCACAGGTAGGAACACAAGTGGAAGGTCTCTAAATGCTCATGTTTACTGTGCCGGTATCTAATTTAAAGGCTAGCAGTTAGCTTTTACAGTTCGCCAACCATCCATGAAAAGCACAAGAAGACGAGAAATTAGTTTTTTTTGTTGTCATTAAGGCCAAACCTGGAAGTAAAAGAAAGAGATTTATGTCTATTGAGGCGAAGCAAAGAGCTATAACCAGAACGAACATTGGCGCAGCCTACACTAGTTTGGGGTATCTGAAGTAGGCTTAGCTATCCAGACTGATGGTGACCTGGCTTTGTTGCAACTGGACCTTTTTTGTGGAACTTTTTACACAACATACCCCACACCGCCCTAGCCTTATTATCAGTTGGTTCATATTAGTGTTAGCTCGTTTTTAGCACTAGCTACAGCAGGCTGTGTAGTCTTAATTCCACTTTCAACCAATGAGGAGGGAGAAGCTGGAAACGTATTCTGTGTCACTTTAAGTTAGGGGCTTCAACCGGCTGAACATCTCTGGGCAACATCATGAGTCTCATAAACTCACAGCTAAAAAGAATAATTAACTCACTTGTACAAGTCTATGACAGGCTTTGCCACTTCCTTGTAGTGTCTGAGTCTTGCCATCAGAGCTTCTGGTTTGTCGTCATCGTGCTGAATCAGCAGCTCTCCGGTGATGTCATCCTTACCCTGGGGACAGGAAGCCAAGGTCACAGTAATTCATAACAGACAACACGCTGACAAGAGTCATTTCACATTAACATCAGTGGCAAACAAGTTGATCAATCATCTGCACTGAAAAATGCAGATCATAGATCGGTTTAAAATATTGGAGTTCAGCCTTGAAGTTCACTTGTTTTTTTTTCTACTAAGAAACAGCTAGCAGCCCAACATTTTAAACTTAAACAAGTCAGTGACTCAATGCAATCTGCTGTGGTTTCCTTATATAGAAAACTGTAGTAACATTTTACAATAAAAGTCCCTTTATCAATGCTACTTAGTGCATTATTAAGCATTAATAAACTACTAAATAAACTATTAATAACTACTTAATATTAAGTAATGCATTACTAAGCAGGGCCCCTACCCCCCGACACTTAATAGTTAAAAATAATGGGAATGTTAATAACGGAATATTTATCAATGCTTAATGATGCACTAAGTAACGTTAATAAAAGGGACCTTTTTTGTTAACTGTTACCAAAACCAAAGTAAACTGGAATGTTTACTTTGTGAAGTGCCTTAAGATGACTCTTGTCGTGATTCAGTGCTATATAAGTAGACTAAGTGTTACTTGAGAAATTATTTAATAGCATTAATATTGTTTTCTTTTCTTTTGTAATTTGGAAAAACAAATCTGTTGAGTCAGCCCTCCAAACCCTCCATATAGAAAAG